CAGGGGGGAGGAAGAAGCAATAATTCAATCAATCGATGTTATCCAGCAATAACTAAAAATCAACTACATCGACGTTAGAACACTATCAATGAACTCTGCTAAAAGATAACCATCAACATCCACCACAGAACTGGTTGAAAAAGAAAAGTCGACAGCGATACAATCATCCACTAATACCAGCAATAATATACAAAAGACGACACGATGGGAAGACATCATTGAACAAGAAGAAAAAGAAGCAAGAGATTCCCACTACGAAGAAGACGACAGAAAAAGCAGCAAATGGTATGTCATATTCAATGGACCATACCGAGGAGTATATCATAACTGGGCCATCACTAGCCAACACATCAACGGCAAACCAGTCCAACATCAATCATTTAAAACAAAAGAAACAGCTGACGAAGCATATAGACAATCATACAAGGTGATGGCAATGAAAGAACCAGTCAAGAATCAAGAGCAACAATCGCAGAAACTCGTCATGAAGATACCCAGTATCAAGAGCATCCTAACCACCAAAGAAAAAGAAGAGCAATTAAAACCAATCTTTCAGAAGTTCATATCCAACTGGGATATGATAATCCAATATGAAGAAAAACGGGTAAATGACACATTTGGTCACTGAGATTACTAAATCGTGTCATATTTAGTCACTAGAAAAATTTAATATCAATTTTGGTCACTCGAATTACTGAAACATGTCACATTTGGTCACTCTTCTGTAGCTTCTGTCCAACTCTGGTCACTCGAATTATTGAAAAATGTCACATTTAGTCACTCGGATTACTGAAACATGTCACATTTAGTCACTCTCCCAAAAGTTTCCGTCCAACTCCATTAATGGAGTTGGACGGAAACTGACGGGAGAGTGACTAAATTTGACCAGTTTCGGTAATTCGAGTGACCAAAATTGATATTAATTTTTTCTAGTGACTAAACATGACACAATTTAATAATCTCAGTGACCAAATGTGTCATTTACCCGAAGAAAAACACACGACCATGGGTTTCTACCCCGTCAGTCGAGGAGGACCCAAGGCAGTAATCACAGAAGAGCATCACCAGAACTCTCTTTTGAGTTCCATCAATATGGATTAATCGACACTATCTACACTACAACCATGAAGGTATTTGAATACTTCCCACAAAGAATGAGGAACGTAATCAGAAGATATCTCGAGCTATTCGCCAAGGAACGAGAAATATTTCTCAAGTATACAAGCAGCTACCCCGTATTCGATCAAGACAAACTATTGATCGGATCAAAGGAAGTTATCCTCATGGGAGTATCAAACCATGATTACCCTACCAGAGATGATCTACGAGACTATGAGAAGAACCCAGACTACCAAGTAAAGGGTCTTCTTGCAGTATGCTGAGCATTAACCAAAATTGAACCGGAAAGTCGGATTAAAGTAAATTACAGCAGCCCCGATGCTATCATCACCAGCAAAACAAGAGGAAACATGACCAAAGAACAATGGGCAATCATAACAGATAAAATTAAGGAATTCATGGAAATTAATGGGAATCTGTCCGCTCTTCCCATTCAAATCAAGAAACAGCTCTGCAGTGAACTTACTATCTTCGAAGACCACTTCTGTGAGTGGTGTGCATCAACTGACGAAGACATCAATGGACCAGCAGACCAAGACTGAAAGAAGCATGTGAAGAAAGAGGAATCAAACAAATATGGGATAAAAACGACAAGAAAAGGTTGGCTGACTCCTTTAAAAAAGTTGTGCATTATTGTATTTCTTATCGTTTCACGTGTTTTCTTTTAACGTGTTAGCTTTATGTCCCTGTTGCACAAACGTAAGCAATGACGTCCTTGTATCTCCTCTCAGCTCTATATAAGAGCAAGAGTTTGCAATGAAAAAAGGAGAACGAGTTTGGCCATAAAAATTGCCTGTTTACTCTCTCCCTCTAGTTAGCTAGTTGTAAGGCTTGGATCCAATGATCATGGAGGCCACAATCATCTTCAATATAATCAAACGCACGGAAAGCAGCTACAATCATCAAGCGATCATCAAAAAGCTCAGAGTTTCATTAGAAAAACAAGTCAGGTATGTCTGATAATCCTACCTCAAGTTATTTTGACTATTTAAACAAAAATGATAATGAAAACTACTTCTTAGATGGTGTTATAGACATTAAGAAAATTAGAGAAAAAACTAATTTTACTATTTCAGAAACTCATAAATTTATCACTAAGTCTTTTTTATCAAAGCTCTTTGATAGAGAAAACATTATTAAATACGGTAAAATGATAAGTGAAGTAGCAGTCCCTATTAATCAAACTAAGGGTGATTCCCTAATCCAAGTAATAAACAAAGAACAAATCAGAAAAAGATTAGCTAAACTAAGATCAGAAGAACGAAATAAAATAACTTATATTCATATTAGTACAATTCAAATTATATTAAAATCAACAATGAAAATAGGAATTGACGCACCCATGGAATTAGAAATTCGTGATGATAGGCTCCTAAACGAAGAAGAAAGTATTATTGCTAAAGGAATGGGAAATTTAGGAGTAGGAATAATTAAATTTGACATTAACCTACAACAAGGATTAAGCCTGGAAGATGGTAATCTTGACTCTTCTATCATTATAAAATACGAATTAAAAAGAGAAAATTTTATGAAAGAAAATAGTAAACCATTTTCAGTGACTTATCAGATAAACTATGCGTTAAAAAATAGTCACCACAGTTTAACCTTCAAAAATAAAGAAGTAATTACTATAGAAGATCTATTTAAACCTTTAATTCAACTAGAAGCACCATTAAAGACCGTTAAAATAGAACCTAGTCGACCATCGATAACCCAAGATCAAAGACGAATAATTAAAACACAATCAGAGAGAATTAGGCGTATCCTAGTAATTGAACAAGATTCAGAACAAGAAGAGATAACCAATAATAAAGTAAATAAATTAATGGAAGAGATAACCAATAATCAAGTAATAAATAAGTTAGAAAAATTGCAACACTCAATAGCAAATCTAGAGAATAAAATTTAACAAAGATGCCTACTAACTATCATATAAATAAATTAATTGAAGAATTAGATGCTATAAATCTCACCTCAATAAATGATATCAGTACAGTCACACAAGAATTAACTTACTTTGCCTCAAAAATTGTAGAAGAACAAATGAATATTGGAACCACAGAAACATTAAAAGAAGCTATCTCTAAAACCGAATTAATTACTGATATAATAACTAGCCTAAAAAAATTAAACAAAGATTACTAAATCAGTAAAATTACTAAATCAGTAAGACTAGTTGAAAAATATGGTATCAGAGCCAGTCGAACCAATCAGCTGCCCTCCTCCTCTCACATACCCAAATCAGGACGTTCCCAGCCGTTCGATCTTTACTTATCCACGTGGACACCTATATGTCCCTGTTAGTATATACTAACAAAAGACCCAGTTAGCAGCTTAACCGGGTTGCATGATGGTGCTTTTAACTTGCTCTTGTTGCAAAGGAATTTTTATATATACTTAGCTTAATTGGGCGAAGAACGGTAGTTGTCATTATCGAGAACATCAACTGCAAATATCGTTATTATTGATCAAAGTGTCGTTATAGAAGGGCTCAAGATAGGGTGAGTAACCTTAGGGTGAGTAACAATGAGGAACCAAATCCGAACCCTTCTTTTAAGTCACTGCACATCTAAGGGTGGAGAATTAAAGAAATTTATTTTCCCTAGTTTTCTTAATTGGATCATATCTTCTTCATTCTAACTCGGATTTCAATTTTTTTTTTTTTTTGCACAGATGGAACGAGTTCGTTGTGCTCTAGAAAATGATATCCATTTTCAATATTTTTTGAGAAAAATTTTTTCATCCCTCTCGTTACCAACTCCATACCATATGGTACTCCTTCGTTGTTTAGTCATTTTCGGAAATTTTTGCACAAAAGTAACGATTTAATCATGATCTATTGGATTTGAAAATTTTCTGGGGGAAAAAATTTCAAACCTCTCGTTACCAACTCCATACCATACTATACCACCCTAGTATGAGGTGGTATTTTTCATACCATATGGTATGCTGTTATTTAATACCATATGTCATATGGTATAGACTGGTAATAACTGGCAAATTTTTTTGTTCCAAAAAATATCAAAGTGTATATCATTTTGAAGACCACAATTAATCTGATCTAATTGTGCAAAAAAAAATTAAATTCGGAGTTAAAACAAGTGAGAAATCATCCGTTAAAGATTAAGTGAAAGAAAATTAATGATTTTTCCAGGAGAGAGAAGGAGGCGCTGATGTGGCAGATTCTTATTGGGTTATGCATAGGGTTACTCACGGGATCTGTTCCCTTATAGAAGTTATGGTTTTAATTATCTCCTTCAACCAGATGTAAAATTTAGATGAGCTATTGTTGGTGCATAGAGGCAATGATGGTTAACCCTGAATAAGGGGAAATCAAAACGTAATGGAAATGGAAGAATGATAAAGCAATGACAATGGTGATACTTACCAAAAAAAAAAAATGACAATGGTGATACTTGTTAGAAACGGAACAACAACAAGATGAGGATACCGAATCTGGAGCTGAGTCGCGGACTAGGTCGCTTTCTTTAAGACGTTCGCGGCACTGCCCTCGATGCGCACGGCAGACTATCAACCGGTCGTCTCCAGGATAAAACAGCTCCTCTGGGTACTCGCGGTTTTGTGCGAAAACCGGAGCTCTCTGAACACTCTCTCTATTGTGTTTATGCTCGTTGTGGTGTGTTTAGAGGGGCTGGGGAGGCGGCTATTTATAGGAGCCGAACCCCTAGTAATATACCCTCTTGCTTGGGGAATAAGTCGGATTAATTAAGGAAGATAATTACTTCCTTAATTAAAACCGTCGGTTAGGATAAATCCTGCAGAGATTATCCTTCGAATATTCCTTTTCAATCGATTATCCCTTGGAATATTCCTCAGAGTAACCGATTAATAATTAATTATTAAATAATTAATTTCGTTCGGAATTTCTCCAAAACATATGTATATAGTCTCAAGTGATCCATCCATCCATCCAACCAACCAACCGACCGACCGACCGACCGGCCGGTCGGACGGACGGACGGCGCGCGCGTGTGTGGTGGTCCGTTAGGTCCTCCCTCTCCCACAAAAGTGGGTCACCCCAAGGGGCATGCCCTTAGGAGAGAGGCTCCTATCTTTATAATCACTTCACCAAGTAAAACTACCAATGTGGTAGTTTTTCCACTTGAGACTCTATAGCTTTCAAAGCTATTCATACACATTTCCAACAATCCCCCACTTGAATAGTTTTGAAACTATCTCTGAGCATCAACAGTTCCATAAGATCGGGCATAAGCTAAGGTATCGCGAAGATTTGAACCTTAGCGTAGTGGTTACACTTCCGATTTCATAAGGGTGACTCGTAGTCTTGAACCCTATCTCAGACAGTGTAGCACACCGGATCTTTTCATTGAGTTGTGTTCTCTTCTTAGCCCGTGCGTTTATGGCCTTGCACGTTACCCTGGTTTAGTGAACGCTCTAGCAACTTTGTGCCTCTCAAAGTTCCATAGGGAGCGGCCCCACTCCCACATTCACATAGGTGAGTCTATCAGGAGTACCCCCAAAGTAAAGTACTCCACCCCACATAGGGTATAGATCTCATTAAGAGTTATTAACTCAACCTCCATTGCTTTGGGATTCATGCTTCATTATGCATGAACTTTTCGCATACTACTCATGACTTGTTATTACCCATTGAACCCATTTCTTGGGATCTCCAGTCTATTGGGTCGGGTTACCATCACTTGTAGTCCGTGGTTCGGTAGGCATAAGTCCCATACCCTTGGCGGTATTCTGGACTTTCTCTCTAGGTAATCCTTTCGTCAAAGGATCAGCTAGATTCTGTTCGGATCTTATATGATCCACCCTCACTGCTCCTATCGTTAGGAGTTCTCTAACAGTACTGTGCTTACGACGAATCTGTCGTTTCTTTCCGTTATAGAACCGGTTCTCGACTTTAGCGATAGCTGCGGTACTATCACAATGTATCAATACCGGAGGGACCGGGCTTTCCCATAAGGGAATCTCTGACAACAATCCTCTCAACCAACTTGCTTCTTCACTAGCCGTTGCTAGTGCTATCATCTCTGATTCCATAGTTGATTGAGCTAGGATTGTTTGTTTCTTTGACTTCCAAGACACAGCTCCACCAGCGATGTTAAAAACATATCCGCTGGTTGCCTTGGAGTCATCTGATAGGGTATTCCAATCCGCATCACTATACCCTTCTAGTACAGCCGGAAACCTTTGATAGTGTATACCAAGGTTTGCTGTTCTCTTGAGGTATCTCATGACCCTCTCTATAGCATTCCAATGCTCTCTACTAGGACAGCTGTTAAACCTGCCAAGCAATCCCACGACATATGCAATGTCTGGTCGAGTGTAATCCGCAGCATAACGGAGACTGCCAATGATGCTAGCATATTCTGTTTGTCTTACACTGTCTCCGGTGTTCTTGAATAGCTTTACACTAGCATCATACGGAGTACACGCAGGTTTACAGTCGAAATAGTTATACTTCTTCAAGATCTTCTCTATGTAACTAGATTGATCTAGAGAATAACCATTTGCTGTTCTAGTTATCTGGATTCCAAGCATAAACTTTGCTTCTCCCAGATCTTTCACCTCAAAGCTCTCTTTTAACATGGCTTTCGCTTCATTGACCACGTGAATATTTGTGCCAAATATCAACATGTCATCTACATACAAACATATGATAGTGCAAGTGTTATTCTCTGACTTGCAGTAAATACACTTGTCACTTTCATTTACCTTAAAGCCATGTGAGAGAACGAGAGTGTCAAACTTCTCATGCCACTGTTTTGGAGCCTGTTTCAAACCATATAATGATTTGTCCAACTTACAGACTTTCGAGGCATGTTCAGGGATAACAAACCCTTCTGGTTGTTCCATATAGATTTCTTCATCTAGATCACCGTTCAAAAAAGCAGTCTTAACATCCATTTGGTGTACCACGAGATTGTTCAAGGCAGCAAGAGCAATCATGACACGAATGGATGTTATTCTAGATACTGGTGAATAGGTGTCGAAGAAATCTATATTCTCTCTCTGCCTGTAGCCCTTGACTACTAGGCGAGCTCGGAACCTTTCGATTGCACCATCAGGTTTCCGTTTCGTTTTTAGAACCCATTTATTACCTAAGACTTTGCAGCCAGGAGGTAAGTCTGTTAGATGCCAAGTCTTATTAGCCTCTAACGATTCCATTTCATCTATAACGGCCTCATTCCAAAAGTCTGCATCTATGGAAGTTAGTGCTTCCTGCAAACTTTTTGGATCCTCTAGGGTGTATACTGTAGTAAAGTCATCACCAAAATCTTTAGAGATTCTAGCTCTTTTACTTCTTCTGAGTTCATCCTCAGATCCAACACCCCCACTAGTTCCGTTATCTATAATAGCGGGTAGTACATTACCCCCACTATTTCTCGTTTTAAATGGAAATCGTGTCTCAAAGAAATCAGCATCAATGGATTCTATTACAGTACGAGCATTCAAATCATAGAATCTATATGCCTTACTATTGGCCGCATAGCCAACGAAGACACATTCATATGCTCGACTGGCCAACTTAACCCTCTTAGGATCAGGAATTCTTACGTAGGCCAAACAGCCCCACGTTCTTAAATAGGACAGATTAGGTGGCTTATTCTTCAAAATCTCATAGGGTGATTCTTTTCTATTTGTTTTTGGAAGACGATTTAGCACATAGCAAACCGTCAACAAAATATCACCCCACCAAGAAGAAGCAGCTCCAGAATTGAGCATAATAGCCACAACTAATTCTGTAAATGTCCTATTTTTCCGCTCAGCTTTACCATTCATTTCTGGTGAATATGGTGCCGTGGTTTCATGAATGATACCATGTGAGCTATAGAATTCCTTGAAGAGATTAGAGTCATACTCTGATCCTCTATCGCTCCTAAGTCTTTTTATCTTTCGATTGCACTGATTTTCGAATTCAACCACAAATACCTTGAACATGTCAAGGGCTTCACTTTTGTTTTTCATCAAATAAACAAAGCAATAATCAGAGCAATCATCTATGAAAGTGATAAAGTATCTCTTGCCAGACCTAGTTAACGTCCCATCTAGTTCACAAATATCAGAATGAATCAGATCTAAGGGTTCTGATTCTCTACTCACAGATTTATGGGGCGTTTTCGTTATTTTAGCTTGGCTACAGAAATCACATTTATCAAATTCATTCATTGAGAGTTTAGGGATATGCCCTAGCTTGCTTAAATTCTTCACAATTCGTGTGTTCACATGACAAAGACGAGCATGCCAAACATTCAAATCACACACCATGTAAACTGAAGAATTCATCTTATTAATTTCGACATTCAACTTGAACATCCCATTACATGCATATCCCTTTCCCACAAAACTCCCATTCTTAGTAAGGGTATACAAGTCTGCCCCAATAGATTGATTAAACCCAGCCTTATTAAGAAGATATCCCGAAACAAGATTCTTCCTTATCTCTGGAGTGTGCAACACATCTTTGAGCACCATCTTCTTCCCAGAGGTGAAGTTCAGCTCCACTTCACCAGAACCAGCAACCATGGTGGTGTGAGTAGTTCCCAACAACACTTTCTTGTCAGCAGGTGCTTCTTCGTATGTTTTAAACATAGCACGATTGTTGCATACATGCTTCGATGCACCTGTATCCAACCACCATCCTTCTGAGTCACCGGTGAGGTTAACTTCAGCGATCATATCTGTGATCATGGCTACCAAATCCTCTTCTGTCAAGTTAACCCTGGCCGCAGCGGCGGGGTTATGCTTGTTCCTGCACTTTTTTGCCATATGACCCGGTTTTCCGCAGTTAAAGCAGATAAACGGTGGGTCATTCTTAGAGGTGTGGGCCATGACCCTTTGGTTACCTCGAGAGGCACCATTCTGGTGGGGGCGGACCTGCTGGTTCTTACCCTTAAACCCTTTCTGGTTAGGTTTAAGAGCTCTAGGGGTGGGTCGTTTAGCAGTGACGACCATCACCTCTTCTTTCATATCCTGCTTGCGGGACTCTTCCTCAATCCTTAGGCGAGTAATCAAACTTTCCAGTGAAAATTCTTTGGTTTTATGTCTAAGCATATTCTTAAAATCTTTCCACGAAGGGGGCAGCTTATCAATAATGCAAGCAACTTGAAATTGATCGTCCAGAGGCATACCTTCAGAGACGATCTCGTGAGCTATTTTCTGAAGTTCGTGGGACTGAACTTCGACAGATTTGTCATCCACCATCTGATAGCGCAGGTAGCGGCTGACAGCATACTTCTTAGCTCCAGCCTCCTCCGTGTCGTACTTCTTTTGGAGCGCATCCCAGACCATCATTGCGGTGTTCTTGCTGTCCGCATAATAGTCGTAGAGGTCGTCTGCCAGGCCGTTGAGGATGTAGCCCTTGCATAGGAAGTCATGCTCCCTTTCCTTAGCAGCAGCAGTCCTCTCCTCATCGGTCGCTTCTTCCGGCAGCTCGACGGGCATGCTAGTGAGGCAGTGTGCCAACTTCTTGGTCGTCAGGTAAAACTCCATCTTTTGTTTCCAGCGACGAAAGTTGACTCCAACGAAGCGAAACGGTCGATTGATATCGACAGCACCAGATCCGGCCATGTTGTTCTGTTCAGTCGACATAGCAGCAGCCGAGCGTCTTAAAATTGTTAGAAACGGAACAACAACAAGATGAGGATACCGAATCTGGAGCTGAGTCGCGGACTAGGTCGCTTTCTTTAAGACGTTCGCGGCACTGCCCTCGATGCGCACGGCAGACTATCAACCGGTCGTCTCCAGGATAAAACAGCTCCTCTGGGTACTCGCGGTTTTGTGCGAAAACCGGAGCTCTCTGAACACTCTCTCTATTGTGTTTATGCTCGTTGTGGTGTGTTTAGAGGGGCTGGGGAGGCGGCTATTTATAGGAGCCGAACCCCTAGTAATATACCCTCTTGCTTGGGGAATAAGTCGGATTAATTAAGGAAGATAATTACTTCCTTAATTAAAACCGTCGGTTAGGATAAATCCTGCAGAGATTATCCTTCGAATATTCCTTTTCAATCGATTATCCTTCGAATATTCCTCAGAGTAACCGATTAATAATTAATTTCGTTCGGAATTTCTCCAAAACATATGTATATAGTCTCAAGTGATCCATCCATCCAACCAACCGACCGGCCGGACGGACGGCGCGCGCGTGTGTGGTGGTCCGTTAGGTCCTCCCTCTCCCACAAAAGTGGGTCACCCCAAGGGGCATGCCCTTAGGAGAGAGGCTCCTATCTTTATAATCACTTCACCAAGTAAAACTACCAATGTGGTAGTTTTTCCACTTGAGACTCTATAGCTTTCAAAGCTATTCATACACATTTCCAACAATACTCGGCGTTAGATTTGCATTCCTTCTCTTTCTTTCGGTGCAGTGGTGGTAATTATGACAATCTTGGAACCAGAAAATCTTGGACTTGGCCTGCCATGATGGTCTCAAATTCTGAAATTCTCCTGCATTCATTCAAAATCATCAAATCCCTATTTACATCCGCAATGATTCAACCACGACGACGCACTGCTACTAGTCTACTACTACTACTTGGCAAACTTTTCACTGCATTGCATTTGGATTCTATTTCTATGGAGCCACGCAACGCAAAGCCAAGCAAACAAAGTTTTAAGGAACTATTCTAATTTTTAACATCAACGGCATGCCTGTCTGTGCCTTGTTTCAATGTCATTATCGAGGTCATTGGTCTGGTCGTGATGATTTGTTAACGTTCGACGTTGCTCTCTATCACTGCAAGCTACGTCGATTGGGTTTGCTCTTTGCAAGGACGCCCACTTGTGGCCCTGCGAGTCGCTGGTAGTCGTAGATCGTTTCCTCTTTGTGATGTCATGAAATAGGTTGTGCAAGATGGGTCTTCGAGAAGCGGTTATTTCCTTGAGATATCGGTGCGATTCTAGAGGAGTTGTTTGAGGCAATTCAAATTGCAAGTCACGGATTTCGACATTCTACATTAGTTTCCATTAGTGGCGGAGCCAGAATTCCATTTAAGGTAGGTCCACCTCGGAAAAAAAATATGATAAAATAGTTTTTTTAATATAATCTTACGTTGAAAACTTTTGATAAATTAAAATGCATTACCAGTCGAAAATACCAAGAATATCACTCTGCATATATACCAAACAATCATTGATTTAGTTAGTCGTAGTGTTTCAAATGGCGTTCTTTGTTAAGAACCGTTAGTATCAATACCACGAGTTGTTGATAGAGGTTTAATAATAAATCTTATACCAACCAATAATTCATGATATACCTAGTCGTTCGCTTTCGAATGATGTTCTTAAAAAAATATTTAGTATCAATAAATCGAGTTGTTGAAAGATTTCAATAATATATTATACCATTTACTACCATACTCCCTTGTAAGAAAGTCAACTTATACGAAATTGATGTTTGCACAAATCTGTATACCGTATGCTTAAGAAATGAGGTCGCCAAGATTCATACACAAAAATTTTCGACCAATTATAATCAATTAAACACGACCTAGTTTTCGATATCAATTAACTATCGTACTTAATTTAACCATTTTCTCCCGAACAAGGGTGGGTCCCGGGATCCATCCTGTTACCCTCTCCCTCCACCACTGGTTCCCATGCAATTATAAATGTTAAGTCTCCTCCAACATGTATAACAAAACATTTGAGCCATATCTAAGATATAAATTCATTTTAGTTGGAGCAACACAAATAAATTTTGGTGTTGATTTGGCTCCATTAGTAGTGATGGCAATGGGACGAGGCTGGGCGGGTACTTCAATTCCCATGTCCCGTCCCCACGCTATTACGGGCGGGGAGGGTAAAACCCGCGTGGGTACGGGACGGGGCGGGTCGACCCACTCTTACATTTTATTTGAAAAAAATACACACAAAATTTACTTTTTACGATAAAATGAATGGAAAATTACTTTATGAATGAAAAATAGTGATAATAGAATGGGTAATTGAGTCTGGCAAGTTGAAAGTTCGACTCTAACTAGTTGAAGAAAAGTTAAAATATGATAAATATGTATAGATACTATAAGAAATTGAGATAAAATAGGTCTAGAACGGGGCGTGGAGGGTCGGAAGTAGATACCCATGCCCCGCCTCACGCTATTGCCGGTCGGGTAATACCCGCCCCATCGTGGGTCAGGTCGGATACCCACGGGGCGAGTTGAAATTACCATCACTATCCATTAGAAGTGTGCAACGGTTCGGTCCGGACCGAACCGTGGTCCATATATTAGTGAAAGACATCTTATAACCAAGGACCGAACAATCATTACGTTCAGTCCGCTCCAAATATAAGCTCAGTCCATCATTTCTTCAGTAATTTGCAACTCGATTGAAATAAAAATATATACAAATTATCAAATCGATTAAATACCCTTTGATAATTAAATCAAATTGAAAAAAGATGATTTCCTCCTTCTTATTATTATTATTATTATTATTATTATTATTATTATTATTATTATTATTATTATTATTATTACTGATAAGAAAGAAAAGGACGGCTAAAGATTCCAATATTCCACTACCTCATAGTATTGATATAGTGTAACAGGTCAGACCAATTGAAAATTAAAACTTGCAGTCAAGAAGAAGACGTTGAAGGAAGGAGGAAGATATTTTAAGTGATACGCACTGTTTATGTGCAACGGTGTCGTTTGCTTTATTTCAGAAAATGGTTTTCTTTTTCATCAAGCTTAGTTTTGTTTCTTTTTCAAGTAAAGAGAAAAAAAAAACAATGCAGAGAGACAAGCTGGCTATGGTTGTCTTGTAGTAGCCAAGCTTGCTATATAATGTAAAAGCAGATCAATGAGAAAGGTTAAGCCCTAGGGTTTCACTCAAACAATCTTTGTTAAGGTATCAAAGCCTGGTTGCTCAACCTAGCTCGGCGTCGCCAGTAAAACCATGGCAGACAACAACGATCCACAACCACAAAATAAGGCAGCCAACAACAAGAATGTGCAAGCACAGAACAACAATGCACAGGAACATCAACAACAACCTTACCAGATGGAGGATCCTTATTTTCTCCATGGATCTGACCAACCAGGTATTCTCTTAGTGGCAAAAAAATCTTAACACCACAAACTACAATGATTGGAGTAGGGCGATGTATAACGCCTTAGCTGCTAAGAATAAGTTAGGTTTTGTAATGAGGTTCTGGTTGAGCCAGATCCAACAAATCCAAAACATGGAGCATGGATAAGGAACAATGTGATGATCTTAAGCTGGATTCGGCAATCTGTTGAGACAGAGATTAGAAAAACCATACTTTCTAGCAAGACAACTTTTGAAGTTTGGAAAAGTCTACAGTCTAGGTATGGGGCAGGAGATATCATAAGGGGTGCAGAGCTTGAGGAATCTCTTTCTAATCTCAAGCAAGGAAACCAAACAATTACAGAAAACTATGGAAGGGTTATCACACTTAGAGATGAGCTCGAAAATTACCAGCCACTCCTTCCATGTGACTGTACACCCACCAGTCATCTCACTTGCAGAGCTATGAAGAAGGTTCAGGAATACCAGGACACAAGTTATGTTATCAAGTTCCTTCGAGGACTGAATGAAAATTTCTCTACAGTAAGATCTCAGGTTTTTTTTGTTGAAGAATTACCTAACATCAATAGAGTCTTTCAGAGGATGCTGCAACATGAGAGACAGATGTATGGAACTCAAAAAGAAAAAATGATTGCTGCTGCAAGTGTTGAGTTACCAGTCCTGGCTGCTCAGGGAGGAAACAGAAGGCCAAATACTATAGGGAAAAGGCCTTTCTGTACTTATTGCAAAAAAGGACACACAGAAGACATATGTTATCAAAAGCATGGATGGCCTCGTGGGATGGATTCAAGGAATCCAGGAGGTCAAGGCAAAGGGCTGGAGTACAACTATTGTAGGAGACAAGGGCACTCGGAAGAAAGATGTTTCTTTAAGCATGGTTTTCCTCCCAGCAGCAACACAAGAGGTCCAACAGGACAAGGAAGAGGAAGAGGTTATGCTAACATGACTTCTGCTATCCAGAATGATCATGACATCAAGCTCACCAAAGAAGATTATGACAAACTGATGAATCTGCTTCATCAGAAGCAACCAAGTGGCTCATTCACAGCAGCAGCCTACATCAACAGTCCAAAGGGACCAGGTAATATCTCTTATCTTCTCCCATAGTTGAGAATTCAAACAAGAAAAGCACCCTATGGATCCTTGACACTGGAGCATCAGTTCACATAATGTGAACCCTAGACAATCTTGTTGAATACAAAGAGATAAACAATGTTTTTATCACTTCGCCAACTGGAGATAAGATCAAAGGCACCCATTCTTGAGGATGCTCCAGTGTCCTCTATATACCTCATTTCACCTTCAACCTTATTTATGTTAGCAAACTCGCCTCCAAAACCCCTCAACTTAACCTTCTATTTTAACTTTTGTCTCATACAGGACTTGGAGCAGAAGAAAATGATTGGTTCTGCTAGACTCACCAATGGACTTTACCATCTAGAAGTAGATCATAGCCCTAAATACATCATTGATGCTAGAACTCACACTTTTGATCTGTGGCATTTTAGATTAGGACATGTTTCCCATTCCAAAATTCCATACCTCTACCAATTTTGTACCTCCATCCAAACTATCAAAGACCACCCTTGTGATGTATGTCATTTTGCTAAGCAAAGAAGACTTAGCTTTCCTATCAGTCAATCTGTAACTCATCAACCTTTTGAACTCATACATGTTGATATATGGGGACCAAATTATGTTCCTACTTTTGATGGTTACAAGTATTTCCTAACCATAGTTGATGATTACACTCGAATGACATGGATTATGTTGTTAGAGTATAAGTCAGAAGGAAGACCAAAACTGCTTGCCTTTTGCAAGCAGAATGAGAGACAATTAAATACTCAAATCAAAAGGATAAGGAGTGATCAAGGAAAGGAATTCCAAATGGATGAATACTATGCTGAAATAGGAATCATTCATCAAATGTCTTGTGTCCAAACCCCCCAACATAATAGCAAAGTTGAACGAAAGCACCAACATATTCTTGTTGTTGCTCGTGCTTTAATGTTTCAAGCTGATCTGCCAGCTAGTTTTTGGGGTTTCTGTGTAAAAAATGTGGTGTTCCTTATCAATAGAGTTCCCTCTACAGTCTTAAACAACAAAACCCCTTATGAAATTATGCACAATAAACAACCAGATCTCTCTCACTTAAGAGTTTTTGGTTGTTTATCCTATGCTAGTACTTTAGGTAACCATCGCACTAAATTTCCAACCTAGCGCTAGAAAGG